GTGTAGGGGGGCTCTCTGTTCTAACACCGACAATACATTCATCCACTTAAAGGTTACTTTTTTATTGCTACTATAAATCAACATTTTTTAAGTTAAAAAAAGGCAAAATAATGCAAATTAAATAAGTGACTGCATAAATTAAATATATCCAATCCCTTTACAACATCTGTTGCTCAGGCTCTTAATTAGTCTGATGTGAGAGACTAGTGCTGGGCAGTACGAGCAAAATTTGGCTGTTTTTCCCCCATCACAGCTGATGTTAAAATCTTTCTGCAACATAGAAACCATTTGACTTTTTTCTTTTTATTTGTCTGTGTTGCATTTTCCCTTCTGTCTTTGCTTCCTTCCCTGGTTGTAGACATTAGTTGTGCATTCTGGGCTTACATCACAAAAGTGAGAGGAAGCAGGTTCATTTGACAATGAAGAGGGTTGAGCAAAGATCATTATCAGGCAAATTTACTTTGTCATGAAGTCTACCTTTACACATCACTAAAGAGATGTATTCTACATTCAGTATTGGCAAAAATGCAAGTTGTGTTTTTTTGTCGGCCATTGAAAGCAACAAAATTACCACCCACCACAAGTTTTTGAAAAAGCTGCTCTCACAATGACTAGCTTGCTCTCTGTGCTGCTAGTTCCTGCATGCACGTTCAGTGGTGCTGCACAGAAAAGCGTCCCCCATGAAACAATTAGTAGCGGGCATGACATAACATAATGTTCCAAATGTATCCAGGCTATTGAATGCCAGTATTTGGAAAATTCATATCATGACAAAAAAACTAAACTAAACTAAAAAAAAAAAAAACGGTTTTAGGTACGAGCCGGGATACCACCCAGCTCTATGAGAGACTGTAGATTCACACATTCTCCGCATGTTTCTGGATGGAAAAAACTCCTGGGATGTTTAGGACCTTAAAAATGATTTTGTATTAATCCTGATTTGTACTTTTCAATAATATTTTCTCTAACTTAAATTAGGACAGTCACTTTAAAAATGGTGAGTATTTACATCATAATTTAATATACATTGTCTAGTTTTATTTCGCATTATTTTGCTTGTAAAGCCGAGTTTACCTAAAACTCCTCAGACTGAAAAAAATCTCTTGGAGGAGAGACAAAACATTTCACTAAAGAACCTATCCAGAGGACCTACCGTATTTTTCGGACTATAAGCCGCACCCGCCATTTTTTTAAAAAAAAATGCGCGAACATCAACATATAAGCCGCACCCCCCACCCCCCCCCCCCCCGGGGAGTGCAATGCCGAAAAAAAGGTCAGCAGCTCTTCACTCGACGTTTATCCACAAACTGGTCCTGGATTAAGCTCCAAAGTTTTTATCAGTCAGATTCMACTGTGAAAAATGTCTGTTTTATCCCATTTTGAGTTTTTGGCCATTGACTATCTTTAAATCGCTGCTTCCTGGTCAACAGTCGGCTCAGGAAGGATCGCTTTTTTCTTTTTTTTTTCTTCTTTTTTGAAGCGAGTGGTTGAAGCAAATGGAGCATAAGAGCCCCCTGGTGGCTGAAGAAAAAAATCCATGTATAAACCACACCGGACTATAAGCCGCATGGTTCGAAGTTCAGGCAAAAAGTCGCGGCTTATAGTCTGAAAAATATGGTACTTAGGCTTTTGGGGGGATTTTTCTACCTGGATTACTGAGATGCATCAGGACATTACTTTGTAGAAATCTGATTTGACTGCAACACAAGATTTTTTTTTGTATTTCTCTTTTTGTTGAATGATTTATTACAGCAATAAGCAGCTAAAACAGTATTTAAACTGTAGGGATGACTAAAAAATTGTGACTTTGTGGTATACCTTGACACTGAAAACCAGCCCATGCCTATTGGAAACCTGGTCCAACATTAATGGATGTTAAGCATGGGTCATAAATGTTCCTTGTGACCTTAGAATTGAATGTTTACATGAAGTTGGTGACACACAAGACAAGTCATGAGGGTTATGAAGTGAGCACTTCCTGTTAGAGAAGCATGGCCCAGTCATCACCTCCTCTCTGATCAGAGCTACAGAGTTATCAACACACACAATGCCATTCTCATTCCTTCGCATTTTCACAATTTCACATTTGAATGTCAACTGCACAAACACACATAGGATATATGTATTGACAGAAGAGGGACAGAGCAGAAAGTTGTGAACTCACAGTTCGATGGCTTTGTTCCACATAATGACATAGCCTGAGAGAGTGAAGGACTCCACGTTGACAATGTGGATGTTTCCTCGTTCTGAGCCGATGTACAGCCATTTGCTCTGGAAGGGCAGGTGACAGTATGTGATTCTGCAAGAGATCAGAAAGCATCACCACCAGGCTTTTCATTATCCCCTGACTTAGTTCCATCAGAGGACTCCTGCTTGCCCCTAACTGTGATGGTCCAACTGGAAGCAGCATTGAATGACTGGGATTTAATTACAAAGGCCTTGTGCTGTGTCACACTAATGAAGCCGGACTATTTATAACTCTGTTGGGAGGAACAGCACAATAAATACTGCTGGCTTCTCTTGACTGAGAAGAAAGTTCATTTAGTACTAATACTTATAATGCTGTTTTAAAATACTGTCCACACAGCTTTGATATTTCTACTTGCATCTAATGCAATAAAAAATGTTTTTCACCTTAAAAAAATAAGAGCAAATTGTTTTCAAAACTGCCAGGAACAGAAACTTTTTACAGAAACAGAACTATTTTTAGCTACAGTAACTAAGTCCTAAAAACTAGTTCTAGGAGAGAAGTTTTACCCCAGAAAATGAGGCAGAGAAGTAAAGCTTCCAGGAATATTTCAGTCTTTTTGGGGTTAGACTTGTGATCGTACACATTTCTAGTGTTGGCACTTTTTTTCATTGCCATTATTAAAAGTTTGTAGTTAAAAGTAACAACTCACTGATCTGTGACCATTAGAGACAAACAGCATTCATAAAAGAGTCTCCAAAAAGTCTCAGAGTGTGAACAGGTATGTCAAACAGGGTCAGTGTATCTTTTGGACATTGGATTTATTTTTTGCTGTCTGAAACAGAAAATGAAAATCAAGTCATTTAAAAAGTTTTGTTCATCTCTTTTTGACACAAATAATGAGAAACCCTTTTTATTTTAATTTTAATTTCTATATTTTAAAATAAAATCAAATAACCACTCGTTTCTTGTATTTTAATACCCGTTCCTTAAATGAAAATTCAATGACAAAAAGATGCACTGACCCAAACAGACCCACAATGTTGAATTTTGAACTTGTTTAACTTGTGGAACAAATTTAAGGCTTCTTCACAGAACAGTTCTGTGAAAGTGCAGAGACGTGAGCTTTCAGAAATGAAGCAAACATCTCAGAAATTTAGGTTACTAAATACTACCCTGGTTCTTTGATAACAGAGTGAGGTGTTTCACTGTGGCAAATGCTCCTGCGGGACCATTTATGGACGCTCCAATGACATTGCAGCTATCTGAGACAGGTTGAGCCATGCTCTGGGTGCCGCCCCAATATAAGACCAACCAACCAACTCATTCTAGGATGGTTTCTTTCTGTGTCCATGCAAGAAGGGTTGGTCCATCTTATATTAAAGATCTTAAGAGCTTGCCCTGCATATGTGTACATTCACTGATAAGTCAACGCGGTGAAGCAGTCTAATTTAGATGGAAGAGAAATGTTAGTGGATGCTGACAGAAATCTGCGGTTTGGGTGGAGGTGGTATGCCACAGAGGACTCCACAGCTGGGGGTTTGGTCAGCCCCAGCTCATCCATTCCCTGTAAAAGCTGCTTAGCTGGCATAGAAGCTGGTGGGAGCCTCTTATCATACAGATCCCATTCTGTCCCCTCTTCAAAACAAGTTGCAGGCCATGGGATGCCCAGTTTTTGAAGCAGACTGTCTGCAGCCATCATTCAGGTCCACAAGAGAAGCCACGCTTAGGCCTGTCGCGATAGACAATAAATCAATTAATTGCACGATAACTTTTTTTGAGGTCGGTAAAAAAAAGACGGCGATAAGTTTCATTTTCCTGCTTGTTTGTTTACTTCTTCTCTCTCCCTCTCTGTGCTCCGCTGCACAGGAGCTCAGCTGACCCCTCCCCTCCTGTTTTCTTAGTGTGGGAGGAGTCAACTCTCGCTTTAGCGTGAGAGCTCGTTCCTAAAGAAACGCTTCAAAGCAGAACGCGGCTGCTGAAGTGTCGGGAGCCCTAGAGCCTAGATTTCGCTGCAGAGGGAGGGAGGGAGAGAGAGACGGAGTGAGACAGAGAGACAGAGAGAGAGGGGGAAAGAGAGAGAGAGAGACAGAGAGGAGGAGGAGGAGAAGGGGTGGGGGCTGAAACTCCCCCAGACCCGCGACAAACTCGTCAAGACTTTACCTGTAGCTCCCAAAAATAATAGGAAACATAAACGCACCATCTTTGTTTTAACTAAACACCCAAAAAACCTGTAGCTGTCCCAACAACTCATGAGGAAAACTCTGAACTGTCTGATTTCCTCCCTGCAGCGCTCTGACTGTCCCCTCCTCACACACACACACAGACACGTTCCCCCTCCTCACACACACACACAGACACGTTCCCCCTCCTCACACACACACACAGACACGTTCCCCCTCCTCACACACACACACAGACACGTTTGTTCTTCTATCCTCATGGGGACTTTGCATTGACTTTCATACATTAACCAGTATTTTCTATTACCATTTGACCCTAAACCTAGCCTACACTTTACATGGGATGTGAACTGGGCTTATGTCCCCATAAGAAACAGTGGGTCCTCACCAGGCTGTGTAGTTTGCTTCATCTCTAAAGACATGCTGCTCTTTAACATTGTTTATTTACTGTCTTAGTTGTGTGTGGTGTTTAATTTACATTTTGTTGTTCTTTGTTTTATTTTTTTTTTATTCAAGTGCATTTTTTGTTAGAGACTGAGAGTCCWCTTTGTTAAACATTCTTTTAAAAATGAAAGTTTATTGATTTATTACACTTACATATTATGCTTTTATAATTATTAGTTGTAAAACGGTCACCAGGCAATATTATCGTTTATCGCAATAAATTTTGAGACAATTAATCGCCCAGCAAAATTTGTTATCGTGACAGGCCTAGCCACGCTGACCTGTTTTGAGATCCCCGCCATCCACCAGCCCTTTGAAAAGCTGCGGCAGGGCCATAGACTTCTCCATCGTGTCCAACCAGCTCGTGGTGGCTTGTGGTTGATGGAAGTCATCCGTTGCCACAGTTGCAGACAGGTACGAGTCTTGTCTGTTCGTTACTATTAGGCTTAGCTTCTTTAAGATGTTTCATGGCATGTTAGAGCAGTGCGGACACACCTGTGAGTTCGCCAGTGATGCTTACGTGTGTTTGTGGTCCATGCATGCTATGCAAACAGAGTGAGTGTCTCTACCAGAGATGGAGGCTCCGTATGATGCGGCGCACGGGCGGGATATAACCTCCTTGGCATTAGGTTCCGACCATTTGGTGGGGGCAGGTGCCATAGCCATAATGATAGACAGAGATATAGCTCATCATGACACGTTAGCTGTCCATCAGTAGTGCTAGCAGTGGGGTTAAAACCAAGCAAACTAATACTACACCGAGGGAATGCTAGCCCGCCTTGACACGTTAGCCTACAACTGCAGCCATTCAGTTACTAAAAACTAAAGACCAGCTTGCCTTAACGTGGTCACTGTTCCTGACTATGAAAGAAATACTTCTAACAAACTTACTCTGCATGAAATCAAACTGTCGCAGGGAGCCGTGTTCGGCCACGTGCTCGGGGAACTGTGATTCCGCCACGTGCTCGGGGAACTGTGTTCCGCCACGTGCTCGGGGAACTGTGTTCCGCCACGTGCTCGGGGAACTGTGTTCCGCCACGTGCTCGGGGAACCGTGTGCGGCCACGTGCTCGGGGAACTGTGTGCGGCCACGTGCTCGGGGAACCGTGCTTGGCCACGTGCTCGGGGAACCGTGCTTGGCCACGTGCTCGGGGAACCGTGCTTGGCCACGTGCTCGGGGAACCGTGCTCGGGGAACCGTGCTTGGCCACGTGCTCGGGGAACCGTGCTTGGCCACGTGCTCGGGGAACCGTGCTTGGCCACGTGCTCGGGGAACCGTGCTTGGCCACGTGCTCGGGGAACCGTGTTCGGCCACGTGCTCGGGGAACCGTGTTCGGCCATGTGCTCGGGGAACCGTGTTCGGCCACGTGCTCGGGGAACCGTGTTCGGCCACGTGCTCGGGGAACCGTGTTCGGCCACGTACTCGAGGAACCGTGTGCGGCCACGTACTCGGGGAACCGTGTGCGGCCACGTACTCGGGGAACCGTGTTCGGCCGTGTATTCCTATACTAGATGCCTGGAAACTGTTTAGCAGCTAACCTAGGTAGCCTGAATGCGCTGAGGGAGTTTGTTGTAGTTTCCCACAGGAAGAAAGGGAGAATGAGTTTGGAGTGGTCAGTTGACCATGGTATTGTGATGGGGGCAAAGCCCTGAGCATAGCTCACCTGGCTGTTTTAGACAGACAGAAGCATTTCCCATAGTGAAACACCAAATTAAGTTAGAAAAAGAACTCTGCTGTGCTAACCCGAAACAATACACAAAAAATGTGTCATCATTTTTAAAACATGACAAATTAACTCAAACTGAGTTGATCATTTGCTTAAACTTTTTTTAAAGTTGGATCATCGTTCTTCTCCGCTGTACTTAATTTGTTTGTTGTTGTTTATGCTTTAAATCCCATGTCCCACTGGTCACACAGACCATATGAAATTACATCACATTTCCAAACTTGTCACATCAAGCATTACGGCTCTGTTTTTACGTTGAATGGTAACACAAAGGAGTATAGGGAAGGTCTTTCACCCCCAGGTCACAAAGAGATGACCAGAAGGCACCGAACTCTGGCTTGAAGGGATTTTGTGTCTTTAGTTTCTGTAATTCAGAGTACCATTGAATTCCAACATACAAATGAAAACGCCCCTTACAACAGAAAATAAATGTCCACACTGGTGAGCAAAAAAAAAGAGTCAGCTAGTCCCTAATCGTCACAGATCAGTGACTGAGACTCCACATAGAAATACCGACACTTTAACATCATCCAGCTAGGGAACCAAGCTCTGGGAACTTTTGGTTCAACTATAAATACTACTATTTATGGGCTGCATTTGTTTCATATTTTAAAAAGTCACAAATTATCTGCTATTCACTTTCATGATAAGAGATGAGAACAATCTGAAAATGAATTAGCTAAAAAAATTTAATTAAATAAAATAGTCTAAATAACTGAAAACTGGGGAAGTTGGGAGATAAAGCTTCTTTCAGATTGAGTTTCACCTGTTGGATGAAACATTGAGAAACATTTTAAAAGAAGCTTTGGTATCAGAGCAGGATCTCTTACTTACAATCCTTTAAAGCATCATAATGTCATTAAACTAAAACACAATGAAGAATGTGGTCAGCAGAGGCAGATACATATAGACAAACTTAAACACTTACCTCTCCCGGTTAAACTTGAGAGAGTGCAGGATAGCAGGGATTTTTTGCCTCAGGTTCCACAGGTGGATGCTGTCATCAGCTAAGGCACTCACCAGCGCCCCCTATGGAGATGGAGAGGAACAGAAGAGTCATTAACAGTCAAAAAATGTCACTTGGCTTAGATAGTTGCTGCTCATTTTTCTAGGCAATACATGAAATATAAAATCAGCTACATTAAGAACAGTTTAAGAATCAGTAATATCAAATATACACTGATGTTTACAATACCTGCTGCCCAGAACTGACACAGGGAGCAGCGACAAGGAGAGGACACACTATGAGTAAAGAAGGATGAGGAAAGAACTCACCTCGTTGACAAGAAACTGAAGCTGGATGACAGCAGCACCGCTCTCATGCTGACAGTAACACTCCACACCTGCTCGACCAAAGCTAAAGAATGGCTCAGTTAAAGGAAACAAAATAAAATAAAATAAAATAATACAGGAATACTTGCTACAGAAAGTCATGCAGAACAGAAGGCATTTCACATAAAGCCTTACAAAAAGGCTGACATGAAAAAAAGATGATAAAGCAAGAGCTGCATTAAAGAACAAAACTGACTCTCTTATTCATTCACATATAATTACCTCCAGTGCTCATGCATATTTTTCAATTTTGAAATTCCATACATATCCAGCCTGGTTGTTTCTAATGCTTGTACAGTCCCCTCCAAAGGCATGGGAATAGCAAGTGACCTTTTTTTGTTGTTCATTGAAGACATTTGGGTTTAGGATCAAAAGATGAGCATGAGACAAGAGTTCTACACGTTAAACAACTCGGAACATACCGCCCTGTGTTTGAACACACCCATTTTACAAGTGAGCAAAACTATTGGAACATGTGACTGACAGACGTTTCTAATTTACCAGGTGTTGGTTGATTGTTCCAACATTAAATACAGTGGGGAAAATAAGTATTTAGTCAGTTACCAATTGTGCAAGTTTCTCCCACTTAAAAAGATGAGAGGCCTGTAATTGACATCATAGGTAGAACTCAACTATGAGAGACAAAATGTGAAAAAAAATTTGAGAAAATCATTTTGTCTGACTTTTAAAGAATTTTTTGCAAATAATGGTGGAAAATACTGTAAGTATTTGGTCAATAACAAAATTTC